TTTTTTTATATTCAAATTTTTTAACAATGATTATTCATTGATTATTCACTGAATATTCAGTGAATATTCATTGTTAACAAAAAATTTTAAATTTATTTAATCATCTACATTCTATCAAACTTATCAACAATCTTTTCAAATAAAAATGGATCAAATTTTGTTCTTCTTGAGGTCATCATATAAATGTAATATAATTAGATGTAGATTCATCACCACATACTACAACATTACAAGGAACAATAATATCAAAAAATTCAGAGACATTAACTTGACAAATAGCTCCTTTAGATTTTTTACAATTTCAGTTTCTTCCATCAAACTCCATATCTGACTTGACTTCTTAGAACCACCCTTTACCTTTCTTTTCTTCAAGATATGAGCAGCAGAAAATTCCTCCCTTCTCATTATTGTATTATTACTTTCTCTTATTATGGTGACTGAAGGCTCTTCTCCATTTTAAATTTAATTAATTAGATGAATTAAATAAGAAAATTTTATTTCAACTCAGTTATTCAGTGAATTTTTAATTTATTATATTCGGTCAATTGATCAATGAAGAAATCAAATATCTGATTAACCAAATACTCACTGAATATTCACTGAATATTATTCATTGGGGGCAACCTCTACACAGAGAAAATAATTGTTGGATGTGAAATATCCTTCTGCACAATGATGTAATTTTCATAAAATAGACTATTTCGTGGATAAATGGTGTGTTGATTGAGTAGTCTAATAAATTACTACAAAGACATATAGATCAAAAAATTGCAATAGTATTATTAAAATTTCTTTTTTTTTTAAAAAAAATAAAAATGTCTAGAGAAAAAAGAACAAAAGAAAAAAATGAAAAAGAAATTGCTGTTGTTGGGTAAGTGTTTATCATAAGAATGGTGGTGGTGGTTATTGCCACTCATCATCATTCTAGTTATAATAATAAAGTTAAAATTCAACAATTCTAGAGATCAAGAAGAAGGAGAATTAGAATCGAATATAGAAGAACATAAGGAGAGTTACCATCTTAGACCAAGAAAATCAATTTTTTATGGCAGCAGTAGTGAAGATGATGACAATTATGTGTTGCAGGTAAATGAAGTAAATTGCACTATTTTAATTGAATAATGTTCATTAATTTATTCTTAGCAATCTCATAATGAATAAAAACACAGGGATCATCTACTTCACATACAATTACATCAAGTAATGAATTAGATCTTGCAACAGCAAGAAAAAGAATTTTGGGAGTAAATATGAATATAATTTATATAATTTATTGTCTTTTTATTTTTAAAGAAAATTAACCTATTTTAAATAAGCTTAAGGAGTACAACAAACATGTCCATGAATTAGTTTATGAGATAAGCGATGCAATGTTGAATGTAGAATTAAGTGAAGACCACTATATAGCAAGTGGAATTCTTTTCCACAAAGACCTCATGAACAACAATAAGGGATTATATGAACGTTTGAAAACAAAAAAACTTTCTAAATTACTTAAACCTCCTA